GATATCAAAACATTAGAAGGCCGAATGATAGCCTGATATATAGGTACACGTTTGCAAAAGCGCAAGCCGATATGTATAGTAATTTGCGAGAAAAATATTGCGATTTGAAAAATGTTTAAAAAGAAAACAGGTTTAAAGTTTCTCATACATTTACGACGTAGATAATTCATGAGTATTCCCTTAATACATTTTCAAGACTCTCCAAACTACAAGAATACGAAAAAAAATGTTTTTATTTGACACACTAAAATATCCTCCTAAAACATTAAAAACCGTTTAGGTTTCGAATAAGTGTAGTTTTTGGAAATAAAATTCCACAAGATTAACAAGAAAATTGTCTAAATTATAAAATCAGTAAGTAAATGTATATATCAACGTCATCAACGATTTCCAATACGTGACATAATGTCCTTGTAAATACAAAAGGCTTCATTAAATGACCTTACAGTACTGGCCTAATCTTATAATTCTCTTAAGCACGGAAACACAATAAAGTCTTAGGTTTTAGCGCTTACTTGTGTAAACTAAAAAGTGGAATGAAAACGATAACTTCTAACGAAATATTATCTACAAATATAGATTATTTGATATCTATCTCCTTACAATTTATCGGTATAGTTTATAGAATACGTTGAGGCGAATTGTTGTATAATCTACCTATTTAGAAATCGAAATAAAAATAAGTAGAAGTACGTGAGGTAAATTCCTTTTCTACAAAGGGGTTAATCAAACGAATAACTGAGAAATTATAGAACTAACGGAGACCTCGACGCGACGGTCGCACGCGAGGCGAGTCGCGAGGAGCGGCCAGTACAATAACACGCTTCTCGGCTCTCGCCAATCTCACCTCACGCACACAGGAAATGAGCTTTCACACGTATACGTGCATCGACATCGTGCCCATCGCGCCCACAGCGGCGTCGACGCGTGCACGTCGTGCAGCAGTCGCGCACGACGACGCGCATCGACGAGAGGCGCATCGACGAGAGGCGCGTCGACCGCATGACGGCGCCACGAGAAACGGCGTCGCGACGCTGTCGTCAGGCGGCGCCGGTCGCGAGGAAACGTGACGGGGTGTACGGTGCGGTGCGAAAGGACTGCGGACAGTGGGTAACTGAACGAGAAAGCAGCAGTGTCTCTATCTCCGTCCCGTCGGTATCCCCCAGGTCGACCTTTCAGTTGCCGCGCGTTTCACTCTCGACCGCTCCTAGAAAACTCCGGAGACGAGGTTGAGCGCGAGTGCACACGCGCTCTTTTCGCGACTCTCTCGCTCCTACCCCGTCCGTCCTACCCAGTCTTACCGTCATCTCCTCTTTCTCCTTCTCCCCGTATCTCTTTCTGTCATTCATATCTTTTCGCCTACTCCTCTGTTGCTTTCCTCGTCGGCACGCTCTCTCGGAGACAGTCTCGTTACACGTAAGTCCTTGTCGCTCGTTCATCTGGCTACACCCAGTTTTTGTCGCTCGAGTTGGCCCCCGGTGAAGACTCCACCGGATACGAAAATCCTAGCCTAAAGAATCCGGCCTACTATCGGGGAGTAGCCGGCGAGTGGATTCTTGCGCGGATACACGCGTGTTCACGCGATGCTTCGGTGCCCGTGTGTGTACATGTGTGCGTGTCACCGTGCCGGTGCAAGACGATCTATCTTCCTCTCGCAACGTTGTTATTGTCGATTTATCGTTCTAACCACCCTACTAGTGACTAATTGAGCTCGGCGACGAGACCGTTTCTCGCATGGCTGCCGTCTCGCATGTCGGCGATCTTGTCAACACCCGTCACCGTCGAGGAAGCACTTCGAAGCCGGCAGCAACAGTAATAAGGAGGTACGACGTCGCCAAGTTACCTCGTTATGAGCGATGAGCTGGTTTCAATCCAGTAAAAGAGAGTACGCGATCGAATTTTTACGCGAGTGTAACATGTTGTCCACCTAGATTCACCCTCGATTGAATTAAGGTCGTAATCCTCCGTTGGGAATTAATTCCTTTTTAGCGATGAAATAATCCTTGTTAAGGATATATCCTTTTAGTGATTCGTGTCCGATATATATCTTCCCTCACGTGCGAGATGACGTATGTGTGTCAGTTCGTAACACAAGTGGTAGTTGATTGCATGCATCACGGTCAATCCTTTTGAATCCTGTGAGAGAAATGTATATGTGTTAAATAAATTAACTCTTTATTTTTAGCTTCTTCGTTATGAGTCGTTCAATGTGATCAAAACTTGTTTCACTTACAATACTATTCTTTGTATAATAGGTATATAATTGGATATCTCTTGAATGGTTTAGCATCTTTATGTCTCACAATTGAAGGATGAATTATATGAATAGTCTTTATATAAAGAAAAATACGTGACTGCGTTATATAATCCAATAGCAATTTATAATATGGTAAAATATTAATTTATTTAAAAAGGTTCAATCGTTAGATTCAATATTAAACAGGATTATATTTATTTATTACGAATTTTATTTATGAAAATATTTGTTGATAGCCACGCAGCATTTATATTTCAGTTATATAAATAATTTATGTTATTAATAAAATTAAATCAATAAATTAGTGCCATTCGTCGTAAACAGTTTTCAAATGGTTTCAAAAAATGATGCATAAATTCATCGATATCTACACGTTAAATTGTTTCTCAATTCTTTTCTATTAAAATTCCGATCCTGTCATTGAATGTGCGAACAGAATACGTTATTCAAGTGCGCATTGCATCTATGTACGGCGATGCCCTCAGATCAAGCGAGTCATATACATATACAATGAATCACAAGAATATTCATAATGCTAATTATAACTTTAAAAAGTTGATATATTTTCGAAGAGAATCTTTACCTATAAGAACGTGCAAATCTATATTAATTTTATGTTTCCAAATTTATATTTCAAAACATTTGTAACAAAAAGTTAAAAAATTACGTACAATATTAGAATACTGAATATCATGAAATTAATATTCATGACTCTTGTAATTGGATATATTTATTAAGCATAATTATAAATTTTGTTAAATTGTCTTTAGATTTGATAATATATTTTTTTATACTATTTTGACATACTATATATATATATATATATATATATATATATATA